CGTCCGGGCTCCCAGCCCCCCCCCTCTAACCCACCAGCCCCGCTCCCCTCCCAGAGCCCGGAGAGAACCCAGGCGTCCGGGCTCCCAGCCCCCCCCCTCTAACCCACCAGCCCCGCTCCCCTCCCAGAGCCCGGAGAGAACCCAGGCGTCCGGGTTTTCTGTGCCCAGCGACTCCCGGCTCCCCCCTCCCCTGACTCATCCCCTCGTCACAAAAGCCCCGAATTTAAGAATTTCCCTTTGGCAAAGGCCCGGCTCGCGCAGGCCAGGGAGTTAACCCTTTCCGAGCCGGCCCCCCTGGGCATGGCCCTGCCCCCCAACTGCCCCCGCGGGAGGGGGGGAGACCATCTCAGCTGGGAGCCGAACCAGCACGCCTGGGTTCTTTGCAAGGGGAGTGGGGGCTGGTGGGTTAGAGCAGGGGGGCTGGGAGCCCGGACTCCTGGGTTCTCTCCCTGGCTCTGGGAGGGGAGTGAGGGCTGGTGGGTTAGAGCAGGAGGGGCTGGGAGCCCGGACGCCTGGGTTCTCTCCCTGGCCGGACTGCGGCTGTTTCTATAAATAGCCCTTTTTCTCGATCTGTCTCATTCCTTCGCCCCGCTGGGTTTCTCCTGGGTTGCGTCAGGCCGGAGCATTCCTGCGGCGTGACGCGGCTCGGCCCGGCGGCCCCACGTCCCTGCTCCGCCCCCACCTCCTGCCTGGCACGGGTCGCGTCCTGCTGCGAGCTTCCCCCCAGCAGTGCCCCCACACGGGTGTCTCCCCAGAGTGCTGCGAGCTTCCCCCCAGCAATGCCCTCCCCAGTGCTGTGCGCTTCCCCTCAGCAGTGCCCCACCCGGGGGTCTCCCCAAAGCGCCGCAAGCTTCCCGTCAGCAGTGCCTCCAGCCAGCGGGTCTCCCCAGAGTGCTTCGAGCTTCCCCCAGCAGTGCCCCCACCCGGGGGTCTCCCCAGAGTGCTGTGAGCTTCCCCCAGCAGTGTCCCCTCCGTGGAGGCTCCAACCTTTGGCACTTCCCTGCAACAGTGACCAGCCAAGGTGTTGGTGCTGCGAGCTTCCCCCCAGCAGTGCCCTCAGCTTCTTGGCTCCGGCTGGCTCCGGTCCTGGACTCCCAGGGCGGCTGAGTCACTGGAGGGGGAGGCTGGGGGGTGAAGCAATGGGTCAGGAATGCAGGAGCTGGTGGGGTGAAACTGAGCAGGGGGTGAGTCAGAGGTGGGGGGATGGGAAGGAAGGAAGGAATGCAAAGTAGAAAGCGAGGGAGTGAGGCAGAGACTGCAAGGGAAGAGGGGGAATGGGAAAAAGACCGAGAGAGAGACCAGGAATGAGAAAGGAAGGGAAAGAATTGGAGTTTTTCCCAGGAGGGGAAGAAGGGAATGAGAAAAGGAAGGAGAGAACGAAAGAAGGGACCGAAGGATGAAGAGGAAGAAAGGGGTGAGAAATGGAGGGGCAGAGACAAAGGCCTCACCCCCTGCCCCCAGGGAGAGCCGGGGGAGGGGACACGGGGCTTTGCCCCTCTAGGGGGCGCCGGCTCCGATCCAGTTCCAAGCTCAACGTTGAATTTCAAAATTAGAATTTTATTGTAATTCTCTTGAACCCGCAAAGTCCGATTCCCTCGGGGCCAGGCGGGTTCTTACCCGAGCCGCACGTGAAACGCGCTTCGTGCCAACGACATAAATAGACACATGGGGGGGGGACGGGGAATTTAGGTGGATGCCCCAAAAATGGCACCTCCAAACCCTGTCACTTCGGTGGCCCTGCCACCAGTGAAGCAGCTCATGGAAGACAGCAGGTGACTTATTCAGAGCTAGAAAAGGCCCCGGGCCCCCCCCCCTCACGATACAGCCCCCCCCCCGAGAGCCGGGGAGAGAACCCAGGAGTCCTGGCTCCCAGCCCCCCCTGTTCTAATCCACCAGCCCCCACTCCCCTCCCAGAGCCAGGGAGAGAACCCAGGAGCCCTGGCTCCCAGCCCCCCTGCTCTAACCCACCAGCCCCCACTCCCCTCCCAGAGCTGGGGAGAGAACCCAGGAGTCCTGGCTCCCAGCCCCCCTGCTCTAACCCACCAGACTCCCCCCTCCCAGAGCTGGGGAGAGAACCCAGGAGTCCGGGCTCCCAGCCCCCACCCTGCTTTGAGAATTGAACTTTTCTCCATCACATTCACACTGTCCCTATATACAGATAATTCACTCGTGTTCCAGGCCACAAACTGGTATTTCTGGGGTTGGGGAAAAAGGGGGATTCTGGGGAGACACGGGGGGGCAGAGGGGATAGACTGGAGGGGATAAATGCCCCCCCAGCAATACTGACCCCTTTAGATTTGTGCCCCCCCACAGGTTTTGAGGTACCATTGGTTGACCCCCCCACATCCCGAGGTTAAAAAGTTTCTTGGTGTTATTGGGCCTGGAATAGAGAGTGTCTGATTTTGGGGGGCACCGATCGGGGGGGCAGCTCTACTCAAGATTTAAAGGTACCCTAGACTGCCTCTAGTCGACCCCAAATCTTCCGCTGGTGTGCTCCCCAAGGGACCCCACGTTCCTCGCCAGCAGCCCAAGATCTGAGCTTTAGGGTCACAGGGAGGTTCCCCCCTTCCTAAGCCGGGGAAGTGCAAATTTTCAATGCTTCCGGAGAGGCCCCAATATGGGGCATTAATGGGGAACCCCCCCCCAAAGCTGTGCAAAATAGAACATCCCCTCCCGATTCCAAGAGTCCTTTTCGGGGAGCGGTGAAAATCAGGGTTCGGGGGGACGTTGGTCAAAGGCTGCTGACGGGGCTCCTGCACGATTCGAGGGTTAGTGGCTCCAATTCTGCCCCACGGGTGCCCAGACTGGATACGTCACCTGCCAGAGAGAGAGAACGAACGAATAAACCAACCTCACAGCTGGGCTAGCAGGGGCTGCGGGTCGGGAGTGAGGGGCACCGGCAGAGCTGGGGGGGCAGGGCTGGGCTAGCAGGGGCTGCGGGTCGGGAGTGAGGGGCACCGGCAGAGCTGGGGGGGGGACAGGGCTGGGCTGGCAGGGGCTGTGGGTCGGGAGTGAGGGGCACCGGCAGAGCTGGGGGGCCAGGGCTGGGCTAGCAGGGGCTGCGGGGCGGGAGTGAGGGGCACCGGCAGAGCTGGGGGGGGGGCGGGGGGGGGGGGGGAGGGGGTGGGGGGGGGGG